TCCAAAGCTTGGTAGGGAGACACCCGCCGATCCTTGGCACCCACACAGAGCAGCAAGGGTGTATACACCTATAGGAGAAGGAGTAGCCAGTGAGTTTGTAAGCAGCACACAGAAGTGCTGCTTCCCACTTGGGGCCAAACTGCCAGTTGTTTAATACTTCATACAAAAAAAATAGATCAAAATACTAAGCCAGGAAAAGTAGAATTCTGCATATAAAATAATTTGAATTAAGCAAATTGTATGTTTTCCTTATTTTGTTTCTGCTATTGACAAGATACATAAAGAAGCCATTACAGGCAATGATGCCCCCTCCACCCCCATCTTCACACTCCGTTCCTCTGTATACAGCAGAAATTCTGTTCAAGCTGTCCTTCTGGTTGCTGAGATTTCAGCAAGTGTTTTTACACATTTAGTTCTGTTTTTAGTCATAAGGGCAGAAGCTTGCTATTTTCAAACAAATGCTGAGAGTCTCAGGATACCGAGTTCTAGTCCCTAGTCCAAAATTTCACACAAATGCAGTTCTGGTACCATACACATGGCACAAAAAGGAAATGCACACAAATCACTGCTCCAATGACAAGACACCTGTGCTATAGTCCCATTCAGTCATTACAATTTGGTGATCCAAACACGTGCTGTGGGCAATCCTCTCAATATGCACAGAGACCATTTTAGTGAATAGGGCGATGCACACGTTTTCTGTCTTCAGCAAGTGCAATGGCAAACCCAGATGTTTCAGGTTATGTGTACACATGTACTGAAGCAGGAAGATACACCACTGACTTATTCACACAAAATGGGAATTAAGTATACCAGAACAATCACGGGCAGTACACTGTCCCATTACGTGAGGGTGGATTGTCGAAACTGTAACGACTGAACAGGGGGGCTTCTCTGACTCTTACCTTTGAAGCATGGATGATGGGGGAGTGGAGCAGCATGGCCACCAGATCCTCCTCAGATGGAATTCGCTCAAAGTAGTATGGCAAACCTAGCGATGTGTAGCGCCTGTGTGGGAAGGTACAATTAGGTTCATGCCCTGGTTCGTGACCTCTGCCAAGGAGCAAAAGAACACCCTTTTCTATGGTTGGCAAGTGGCTAGTGTGGAGGAGGCCAGAGAAGAAGTCAAGATGATTGCAAACTGGAAGGTGAGGATTGCGGAGACCGACTCATGGACTGGGAGAGGATGAGGACGGGTAACATGGTGGAGAGATGGCAGAGAGAAAGTGGTTCAAAAACAGATGGGAACTGGCTTGCGATAGGTAAGGGGAGGTTCTCGGGAAAGGTGAGACGGAAGGACTGATGCCAATAAGTTCCTTACCAGTCAGGGATGTCGGAGGTCCCCAGCAGAGTGGCCATGTTGATGACAGGGCTTCTGACTGCACATGCTTTGTACATCTTTGGGTATTGACCAATCAGGTGGCAACAGATGAAGCCCCCATGGGAGCCTCCCAGCAAGGCAATTCTATCTGGGTCCAAAGGCTCTGACTGCAGCGCCAACTCCACTGCCAGCTGCGATGGCAGAACAGAGCAAGAGACAGGCATGTTCTCAGAAAATGCTGCAAACGGAGACCCAGAGTAACAGGGTTCCTCTGAGGTGGCCAGTGGTACCCCACATAACCCAACACTACACAGCAGACTCAGCTAGCTTTTTCCGCTTGAGCCTGCTCCTGGGCCCAGGGAATGAATCCAGCCAAGGTTTTTAGAGTGGGGGGTGCAGTTCCCAGACTCCCTGTCCAATCACACAACACAGATTAGCTGCTCACATACTTTAACTCTCCTCCCAGGAAGTTAAATTTAAAAATTGCCCCGTGCACATGTGGAAGCACAACTTCTTGAGGGCTGCTGGATGCTGACAGATGGTGGGTGCTCTGTGCATAGAGATGCCTAGGATTGGCTCAAGGATCTTTGCCACCCCAAGCATCTCCTTCCCACGTTGCCCTGGCTGAGTCCAAGGTAGCCGCAGAGGCACAGCATGGAACTGGAGGGGGGGGGAAGGGATGCAGCAAGGGGAGGGTTCCAATATAAGCAGGTCTCTTCCAGGTATGCCTTGCAAGAGCCAGATCTGGGACAACTGCCTCCCCCCCCACACACACACAGCTTGCCTGCCATTACAAAAAGGACAAACTGATATATGCAGTGTGATGTTTGTTAATTAGGTCTCCTCCTGATTCAACAGTAAGGAGCCTTGGACTTTTTATTTACACTTGGTTCTTCTTGCAGAGAATGAAAGAGAAAGAAAGGAGGCTGACCTGAGTGTCTTCCACATCTTGGATCCCAACGCGGGAGACCAGAGAGTCAATGCTGGACTGGCCAAAGCCCAGGGAGCCCCTGTAATTCACTGCTTAGAAAAGGGCAAAGCAAGAGACGGAAGGAGAGGGGGGAATGGTCTCAATAGCCTTCCACAGCTTTTTCCACTCCCATGGATGCTTGGTGGCAAATGGCTGTCCCTAGGACCTCCCTCCTCCCCCTTTCTACTGGTCCACAAATAAATAAAATGGTGTAGTAAAAGAGTAAATAAAATGGTGTAGTAAAGCATTGGAAATAAACATGGGAATATGAACATGTTATCAGTGGAGTCTAGGAGAAATCTGTTATTTCTTATAGCATGACAACTTTGTATTGCTGATTACGTTGTTGTTCTGTAAGATTTTCTGATTGTGTCATTAGTTTCCTTCCATTTATGTTTTTACCCTCCAAGGTCTTTGATCTCTGCTGGAGAATGAATCTATCCGTTCTTTCAAGCCTCAGGGTAATGCCCTGAAATGAAATTATTCATAGACAGAAAGAGATGCAGCTGATGTTCTAGGGACACATGGAGCAGACTGTACTATACAGCCAGGAAGTGGGCTCCAAATAGGGAAATGGCAAGGGGACAGGGCAAATGAGATGGGGCTTCTTGAAAGGGTAGCATTTTCACACTGGGTGGCAGGGAGTGGAACACTTGACACCCTCAGGCTTTAGTTTTAGATCCACATAAGCACTATTTTCTCCATCCCCAGGCACCTACACCTGGAACAGTTCCACAAGGAGCCTCTGCTAACCTATTCTGTTCTGTTTCTTCCTTCTGCCATACAGACAAAAGCAATTTCACTCTTTTGTCATGTTGCATAGCTAACTAACAGAGATATTTCTCAGGGAGAAGCAGAAAGAATTAATTGGTTCAAGAGAAAGGCTAGTTTAATCCAGAACTGTGGAGATAATGAAACCTTCCAGGCAATGTTCCCTCTAAGCTATGGAGTCTTGTGAGCAAAAATTCTACTTTGCAAACTATTGGCATTACAGTTGTGAGTGAGCGATCTGGCTACTGCATCAATTAGTTTGTTCTGGAGCCATCCTTCCTGAGCCAAGACAAAAGTGTGTGAACCGGAGGCTAAAAAACTGTGAGCTAGCTCACACTAAGTCAATTTACAGGGAACACTGCTCCCAGGCCTACTGAAGTTCTGGTAGAAGATGCAAGTTAAGGGAGCCCAGATTCCTCTCTGCACCAAAGATGTCTCTTTCCAGTGTTCAGATTCTAAAGGGAGGCTACCTCCTTGCTTTCTGTGACATCCCTCTTAGCTACTATCTTCAGAAGGATAACAAGGGAGGGGCCATTATTTGGTCATGGTTCTTTAACTGCCCCTCAATCTCTTCCTCCTTAATTCATATACAACCCTTCTCCCATCCATTGTGGCAGGTGAACGGAGGCATTGCAGGGCTAACAGGACAAAGAGTGAGATGCAGCTGCAGAGTGCATGCACCGATGATCTGGATGAGATGGATCTGGATGAGCCGTCCGGGGTGGGGGGGAAGGAAGTACAGGGCTCCTCTGTACTCACCCATGAGCACTGCAAAACCCAGCCGGCACAGACATGCCATGGTTGGACGCCAACAGGCCTCAAAGATCGCGTGAGGGCCACCTGGAATGAGAACGGCAGTCATACAGAGTAAGGCTACCAGGGAAAAGAGCTGAGAAGCCCAGGCAACAGAATTCTATCCTCTCCTTCCCCATCAGAAGCTTGGATCTATACCGTTTAAAAAGCAGATTAAACGTGCAGATTAAAAAGCTTTTTCAGACACAAAACCATTTTGGATACCTTGCCACCTTAAGAAAAGTGATAATGTTATGATGGCCATCTTCAATAGAAGAGAAGCTGAGGAGAGGTGTAGTGGACAGGGGATTGGAAAGTGGTTTATTCAGACTACGTGACAGCTGTGTCACTTACCATGTGGAGAAACAATAAGTGGGAAGCCCTTTCCTCCTTGTCGGCTTCCTTGTGGTCTCAGCAACAGGGCTTCAAAGGCCAGGTCTGCTGCAAGGAAGGCCACAGATGAGCTGCAGGTCACCAACACCCAGCTTTCACTTCTCCAGGGAAGTCAACAGGCCACACCAGGGCTCTACATGCTTCCTTCCTGCCCACACACAGCCTGCCTGCAGCTATTACTCTGGTTCCCTACTGCCGGAAGAAGTGGGATTTTCTCCTGTGTTATGCAGGGCCCAACTAAAACATTTAGCACCTGAAGTGGAAAATCAAAATCCCAACTCTTTCCACTCTGGTAAAAGAATACAGCAATTCAACAGCTGAAAATCAGCTATGCTTTAATAGTACCTCCAAATCTCTGCTTCAGTGCATGCCACCTGATGATTACTATGCCAGTGGAAATTGGATTGGGCTGTAAACTAACTACAGTCAGCCTCAGCACCTCACTAGAAGTGTGAAACGTAGCATCAAAAGTTTCTCCATCTTTTCCCAGCCCTAAGTGATGATACAAGACGAGGAAAGCCATCTGTACCAGCCTCTTTCCTTTCAGTGCAATGCCAAGTCCCTTCCCATTTGGCTTCTGCAACTGGAGGATCATTCTGAGGTTCTGATCCAGGAATCTAAGCTCATCAAGTTCTTACTGTGACATCCCAATATCTCCATTTGAGTATTTTCTATTATTCCGGCATCCAGAATAAAGCATATTGTTCCTTTCAACTATTTCTGTGCCAGCATCAGACCTCTCTTTAACTAGTACAGAATAAGGTGGCATTTCCCTGTGCTTTTTTTAGCTATTCTCTTCAGCCAGGCTGTGCCCCAACCTGTACTATTGTCATTTGCCTCTTAATGTCATTTGGCATCTGAAATCACTCCACTTTCCAAGATATAAGGACAGATGGACTCACCTCCATTCCTAGCTTTATTTCAAGAAGTGAGCAGTGGCTCACGAAAGCTCATACCCTGCCACAAATGTTGTTCGTTTTTAAGGTGCTACTGGACTCTTGCTCTTTTCTACTACTACTACTACAGATACTTATTCAACTAATTGCAAAATAATAACTTCCAGTCAACCTAGTGAGTGGATTGTGGGTTGGTTGGGGTCTCCGTGCTCCTACTCCTTACTGTATGGGATGCCCTCCTCAGTCACAGGTGGCTGCACTGTGAGGATTTTCCATTCCAGATCTGGAAGTCCAGAGGTTTCCACCACTCTCATCCATTGCAGTTCCTGCTCACTCCCTGCAGGGGGAAGCACACCCACCTTCTACAAAGCAGATACGATATTGTTATAGGAAGCAACAGACAGTGATGGTGAACACAGACCTCTTAACATAAGTGACCTATCTTGGAGAACAAAACATGAGTTTGTGCTCAAGGGTTTCTTTTTGTGTGTGGCTGTAAGCCACAAGGACATTTCTTCAATGGCTTGTTTCTCTCTGAATATAACTAGCCTGGATTCTGAGGACGCAGGTGTTGCTGTGGAGGGATCCTGGTGCTTGGGCTGAGATTTCTGAAGGCACAGCCTCAGTGACATTTTTTTACTTATTCTGTCTTTGTGCATAAACAAAGCCAATTAACCATACTGAAGAGAATGGCCAAACTCTGTATTTTTGGGGCCAGCATCTTCCTATAGGATCTATCTAGAAAGAGGACAAACACGTGAACGTGACAGAAAAAGAGTACAGCAATTATGGTAGGGCATCACCTACCCCTGTTTACTGTATCGGGGTTCAGAAAGGGAGACACTGGACTGCTCCTGCTGGACTCACAGAGCGCTTATTCGGCTGCTTACCAAGATTGGAGGGCAACTGGGTGATGAACAGGTGACCACCAACAAGTCCTGCTGAATTCCCAGCAGAGTCCAGCTACCCTCTGGTGTGCCTAGGATGGAAAAAGGACATTTACGCAGACTGCCAGGGACTGCAACTTCATTTTTAGTCTTTGTGCAACAGTCTAAACACATGTATGTATGTAATTGGAGTGAGGGGGAATAACATTCTTTTGTTTGCTTCCTTAAAGGAATAGGATACAGAACACAGGAAAGAAATAACTTTCAAAAAGAATAAGTGTTTCAAAAGGAGAGGGAAGCTGGTAAACAGCATTCTTCCATGCCAAGGCCAGATGAGATGCATAAAGCAGCATCTGGCCTCTGGTGTCCCAGTTAGCCATTTGTATTTACGAGGAAGCATCTTTTGAACTAAGCAAGTGCAGGAGGGCCAGCAGTGTCACCTCCATCCACAGACCAACTTTCTTAGAGCCAGGACGCAAGCAAAAGGGTCTCCCTTTATGAACCTCATCTGCTTACTCCCATTTGTGTTTTGGCTTGCACACAGAACTAAGCTGCAGATGTCAAAGTGTGGAGTGCTGTCTCTTTAAACCCTTATTGCTGCGCACACTGGGAAATGTGTACTCAAGAGCCATTTGCCTGTGTCTTGAGTGGGGGGGGGATCCCCAAAGTGATACCTTGGCCCTTCAGGGTTTTTGATTGGCCATTGGAGATCTGATTGGCTGCATAGATTTTTAAAACATTGCTTCAGCAGCAGCTGTCACCACAACACAAGAATCTTCACTGCATGACTGAAGGTAAGCTGTGCGTGTGCAAGAAAATATTTTTAAACAATATGTTCATTTAAAAAGGCATCTTGCCTGCTACTCCCTGAAAGGCTGAAGAGTTACTGTTAGAGATATACATGATTGCTGTCCCTGCCATTTTGTGGTTGGCTCCACGTCCTCTGGCAGCCATTTTGTAGCTGTGCCCACCACCCTGTGCCAGAATTCCAAAGTTGCCCAACAGGCTGAAAAAGGTTGGGAACCCCGGGTCTTGAGTGTGTCTCATCTCTACACAGGAGGAAGTGGCTGAGATACAGAAGAGAAAGTCCTTGGAGCTGGTTGCTAGATGGGAAGTTCCTGTGCCGCTATGCGCCTACTTCTTCTAATTTAAAAAATCGGATGAAGCGTGTTCACCCTTCACATAGGAAACATTCAGTATTACTTACGTGGTCACATTTTGCACTATAGTACTATTGCATGGATGTGCTTATTAGGAGAAATAACGTTTCTCAGGTACAAATTATGGCATATCCAGTACTAGGAAAATTAAATATCCACACAGCAGAAGCTTAATCGTAGCAGAAGCTTGGTCTCTGTACAGTAAATGGGTTCCAGCTTTAGTTTTATTGTGCTAATAACAGAGAGTCGGCAAAGGCCAAAAGTAATGGGCTTTTTCCTATTTGAGTGGGGGGGGGAGTACACAGCTTGCTCATCAAAAGACTTACTGATCATCACATTCCAGCAATATCTGATACAAAGTAAGGAAAGGGTCAGCCAGTCCTGGAGAAATTTGGGCTTCTTGTGCCAGCTGTTTGCACAATGGATTGCGGTGCTCTAGCTTTAAACTTCCAGTTTCACTACACTGGCCTAGGGAGAGGGCTCCTCCTCAGGCGGGAGAACTGAGTCCGGCATAGGTTAACCCCTAGCTACTAACAGGGCCTGTCAGGAGAAAGTGCTCTGCAGAATGTAGCCCAATGGAAGTACAGCCCAATGCAGACACATGGATAGATGACCTATGAAAGGTCTCATATATCGGCCTTGCTCAGCAGACAGTGTTCTATGAAATGGGTGAAAGTACTGGATATGAGAGCCCTTCTGACTACTGTATCTGTTCCTTGGAGTAGAGCTCCTTCAGCCTACAACCTGAGATGTGACTGTACCTGCTGTAATACACTTCACACTGCCCAGTTTGGTATCCACCACCAGCAGTTCCTGTAACAGAATGTAAAGAAAGACCAGTGAAGCTGCTGCTCAGCTACAGGAACGTACCTAGAAATCACATGTGGGCACCTATCCCCTTCACATTACCGCTTGTGAAAAAAAGCTAACTTTGAGCTGACTGAATAGTAGTAACCTCCCCGCCCCCAGTAACTTAGATGGTGACCTTCTGTGGGGGTGGGGATATAATAGAATCATAGAGTTGGAAGGGACCATATTAACAAATGCATCAATCCACTTCTTCTAAGGCTAATTGTTTTGCATCCACACCACACAGAGCTGGATGTTTTGCTGCACCCTTCTCTTTGGATTTTCTTCATGATATCACATTCCAGCACCCCTACAGATACGCAGCCCATAGGCTGGCTGGCCCTCTCCCTTAACATTCCAGATCTTCTCTGCTGCCTGAGCATACCTTCCTACTCCTCTGAGGAGTACTCAGCAAGACTCGGCGGTTGTCCATGGCCCAGCAGAGCAGGGGCAGTGCCCCTGAATAAATCCCCCAAAAGCCTTAAAGGGAGAAGACAAGCCTGGTAAAGAGCTTTGATACAACTCAGGTCAAAAACAAACAAACAAAAACATGGACAAAGCCAGAAACTGCAAGAGAAACTTTGGAGAGGGGGATCAAGTAGACAAGTTAGCATGTGGGGAGATAAGGCATATAGGCATATTTCCAACTCACAAAGTGCTCCATTTTCAAGTGTAAAAAAGACAACATTAGGGCTTATTTTGCAGCAAAAGCTATGCAACAAAAAGAAACAAAAGGAGCTACGTGCTTGAATTGGGTGGGATGGCAGGGTGATCAGTTGTAGCCAGACCTGTAGCTACGGTGGGGCATCTTGGGGCTACACCCCCTTAATTTAAAGCCATGCCCCACAAGTTTCTGTTCCTTAATATTTGAGGGGTTTTTTTGATTTTTTTTTTAAATTTTAAATTCATGCACACTGCCTACAGCGAGCCCCGGCAGCAAGCCTGCCGCCATGCACAAGCCAGGATGGGGTTTCACTGCTGCCCCCCCACCTGTGCGTGGCCAGGGTGTGTGCACGTGCGTGTGTGCTGACTGCACTGGGGATCCCCCCAGTAGAGAAGCTGCCACCACCATCACCATTGATTCACTGAAGGAGCTGCGTCAAGGGGTGGGCAGGCAGGGGAGAAGAAAGAGCAAGGTGGCAAAAGGAAGCTGAAGTGACTAAAGCAGCTTACTGTGGATGGATAAGGACTGATGGAGGGGGGGAACACACCCAAGTGGAACTGGCTGGTGAATTGGTATTGTGGCCCCCACCTCTGTCACTTCCCCATGCCCAGGACTGAAGGTCGGCATGCCAAGCCTTGGCCCAGCTTCCCCCTCTGCCTCTGACCAACCCGTTTATTACTGTCTGTTGTTGTTTGGGTTTTTTTAAAGGAACGGAAGGATTTAAATCTCTTCTGAAAAGGAAAGCTGCATGCTTGTTCCTGCTGGGTTGGGCATTTTTGCTGCCATGAGAAGTAACATGTTTTCTTCCTTTGGTCCGTTTCACCTCATCAAAGCCAAATCTCTGTCCCTGATGCCAAAATGAGCAACCAAACTTTCTCTCTGACTGGAGAGACAGGCCAAGGGCTCCCCCCCTCCACAACCCGCAATTCCATTTAGAGGGTTAAAAGAAAAGGCACTCCACTTGGAGCATTTGGTCTGTCGCTAACCCCATATATCAGCCTGGCTGCTTTAAATAATTATATTTGCATGCAGGGGAGGGATTCATAAATATGAATATAAAAATTATTTCAGTGATGTCACACTGGTGCCAGTGCGCCCCCCCCCCCCGCACTGAAAATTTTCTAGCTACAGTACTGGACGCAGCAAGCAGGAGGTGGCATTTTCAGCTGAAGAAATTGGGACTTACCATCTGTGGCTGTCCTGACCACATCCACTACTGTGTGTGTAAGCTTTGCTTGCCAGTTGAGCTAGGTAGAAGATCAAACAGAGATCCAGTTTGGAGACACAGGGAATAGAAGGCATTGTACTTCAAGCTGGATCCCAAGGACCGGTTTCTCTGCACCTTTTGAGCAGGTGACTCCACACTAATCTGCCACGCAGCCCCTCCCTATCAAGGCATTCTGAACTGCAGCGAGAACTCGCAAGTGTGCCATTTTTATCTTTTGCATCATATTTCAAGGTTATGTCAGTATCAGCTCTCCTGCTCGCTGAATACTTTTTTTTTTGCTACAGACTTCTTGCTCCACAATCCCTTGGCTGTGAGTCCCCAGCTACTCTCATCTTCAGTGCGGTCCTTCCACACTCACCGTCTGCAGCTTCAGGCACTGGCGATGAGGCCCGAACACTGGCCCCTCTAAGTACAGCAGGTGGGTTCCATCAGGGCTCAGCCGGGGAGAAGAGACAGCCTGGCAATCCGAGGACAGCAGCTCTGCAACCACAACCATATAATGCGGCATCAAGGGGTAGGCAGAGGACCCCCCCCCCCGTCTGTGTGGATATCTGAATGCACAACTCATGAGACAGCTTTTTAATCTCCAGAATTGCCCCAAAGCTCCCAGCTGCTGAAAATACTGCCACATGAATGGTAAACATCTGAATCCATCTTCCGAGAAGTTCCCACAGCCACACTTCTAGGGCTTCTTCTGACAACGTATTTCCTCACTCACGTTTTGGAAACCAAAGCATAAGGAGTGATGAAATGGCTGAAGAAAGATACACAGCTGCTTTGCAACACCAAGTAGATGTGAACCATTTGAGCCTACGGAGACGCATGTTACAAAGCCACGTGTTCCCAAGCACTTCCTGGCTTCTTCCCAGAATGCAAACAGGAAAAAACTAGTATCAGAAAGTGCATGCCGGGGGAACAAAGAATCCCAATCCGAATGGGATCCCGATGGCTTTTACAATTGCAGAAAAGGTGGAATCTGGCAGGATTCTTCTGTAGTACTAAGCCAGGAAAAGCTGTACCTTCTAGATTTCTCCCCTTTGAAGGACAACCTCTGAAATGACTTACCACAGCTGCCTCCAGGGAGCTCCAAGAGAAATAGGGCTGACCTACAGCAGGGAGAGGGAAATAGTAAGAAGAAGTAATCCAAACACCGTGGGACCAAATTTTCCCCTTTTGGACTTAACGGATGGTGAAGCTTAGAATCTGGAGCTCCATTACTTGCTCTCTTTCACATTCTGTTTTAAGGAAGTTCTTCATATTAATCATGTACATCCTCTTCCACAGACTAAACTACCTAAGGGTGCCTGTGGATTCTGTGGATAGTTCTGCTTTAGGCATCTTCCTGATGGCAGTGGGTGGGCGCACCAGTGACCCATCAAGTCCCTCCCAAACCTCACATCAACTGGATCTGAGAGCCAGTGTGGTGTAGTGGTTGGAGTAAGATCTGGGGAAATGAGGTGCAAATCCTCACTCTGTTATGGATGCTGGCTGGTGGCCTTGAGCCAGTTACACATTCTCAGCCTAACCTACTTGAGAGGGTCATTGTGAGAATAACATTGAGGACAAATATGTAAGCTGCTTTATATGAATAGACAGATTTCAGAAACAATCCCAGAGACCATTGACTGCATGCTAGATTAGACTTTGATGAACTTCTGGTGCTGAGATCCGCAATGGGAAAGATGCCAATTTTTGCTGCTTCTTCCCAGAAGCCTCTGGTGCTATCTGAAATGTGACTTGCATCTACAAATATGAAATCCTACACAGGTGGAAGTCTACAATACCGTCTGGTCACTCTCTCTCTCTATTTAAATATGAGTGCTTTAATTAATTAATATCCAGATGCTGCAAATTCAAAAGCCTACCCCCCATTTTTATTATTAAAGTGGGTGTGGTCATATGGACAGAAACCTTTTTTCTTTTCTAGCAAATGACAGTGTGAATTACATTTTTTGCACTAGAACAAAGTTCGAATCCAGTGGCACCTTTAAAACCAACATAGTTTTATTCACGGTACAAGAGTTCATGTGCACACACAAACTTCTCAAGAACTGTTCATGCACACGAAAGCTTATACCTTGAATAAAATTTTGTTGGTCTTAAAGGTGTCACTGGACTCAAACTTTGTTCTGCTGCTTTAGACCAACATGGCTACCCCACCTGGATCGATTTTTTGTACTGTATTTGTTTGTTTCCTGGGCAGAACTGTGTCCAGAGGTGCTGAGTCCCTCCAGCATCCCCCTGTGCTGTACACTGGTCTCCATCTTAAGAAAGTTACAAACTACAGACAATTTTGGGGTGTTTCCATTATGCCCTAAACCGCTTTTTCTCTCTACACCCCCACCCTTTTCCTGCACTTAATTTGATGAAGCCTGATGAAAGCTTGCATGAACTATTTTATGACATTTTGATTGATTCCCCCCGCCCATCGCTTTGAAGTTCAGGATGTAGGGTTTTTGTTCTCACCCTCTTTGGGAGGTGAATGACCCTCTGCATTTGCCCTAAGGCAGTAGCTGGTTCAAGCACGGCTAATCACAGAGCAGGATCCACTCACGATCATGGGCCAATGAGACCCCACTTACCACTATACCAGCATGGTATAGTGGCTAGACAGTCTGACTATAGTTGGGAGAACGGGGTTCAAATTCCCACTCTGCCACCGTAGCTTGCTGGGTGCTCTTGGGGGAGAGTCGCACACCGTCACCCCAGCCTACCTCACTGGGTTGTTGTAAGGATAAAATAGATGAGATGTGTGAATGATATAAACCAATTTTGGTCCCCACTGGGTAGAAAGGTGGAGTATAAATGGAGTAAATAAATAAATAAATACCTTCTGTTGGAGCAAGCTTTCAATCCCAATCTGAAGGGTTCATGCCACCAGCCAACAAATACAATACCCTTGTCATTGGGGGACCACAGGGCCTAGCCAGGGAAGCAAAGCCGTAATGTGAGCCAACAGCACCTCATTATATGGTCTAGCAGGTATGAGCTACCCTTTACATCCCGCATAATGTCACTGACGTTGATCAAATCCCTCAACAATGGCCTGACACACCCCAAAGCCTTCTGCTGGGACCTGCTCCTGTACAAGATGGCTAGACAAAGCAGCAGCTTCCCAAGTTCTGTGTTAAGACTACTTTCATGACAGAGGAGTTTGCAAGATGTATCTACCTCTGCAGCTGAACAGGTGGAACTCATGAGGAACAGAGTTTTTTCTCCAGAGCTTGAGCTGAGCCTGCAGTAATGTGTATGGCCCTTAGAGTTAGCACCACAGACTCCACGTGAAAGCATCTGGAAGTGCTTTGTTTCCTTTAAGAGCTGAGAGAGGTGTATGGCTGAACTGAACCTGGATTCTTTCATTTCTGTGTGGGGCTCTGCCACAAGTCTGAATCCCGAGGACCGCAGAAAAATGCAGTAGCCACATTGCTCACTCACAGCTTTCATGCCAGTCGCTCACAAAATAGAATTTTTGCTCACAAGACTCCACAGCTTAGAGGGAGCATTGGTATCTACCTCTGCAGCTGAACAGGTGGAACTCATGAGGAACAGAGTTTTCTCCAGAGCTTGAGCTGAGCTTGCAGTGATGTGTATGGCCCTTAGCACCACAGACTCCACGTGAAAGCATCTGGGAGTGATTTGTTTCCTTTAAGAGCTGAGAGAGGTGTATGGCTGAACTGAACCTGGATTCTTTCATTTCTGTGTGGGGCTCTGCACTTCCACAGCACTTGCCCAAGTCTGAATCCCGAGGACCGCAGAAAAACATTTTGATCGTTGTCAAAGATATAAGAAAAGTAAAGGGATGTGCAGTGCTGAGACTCCAGAGCAGTATCTAGGACCAAGAGCATCATGACAGGTTTCCTTCGTACTTTCTCCAGAAAGCAACCACAACAATTTAAGAACACAGAAAAACTGGGTCAGAGCTTCCCCTTTGCTCATGATCTCCAACGGGGACTGCAGTTCCCCATTGACTTCCCACACTGCCATGCACTAACCTGCCCAGGAGAGATGTGTCCTGGTATGCCACCTGGGACTGAAACTTCTTTGGTTTCAACATCCAGCACACACAAGACAGGGACACTGTTATCATTCAGCATCTCTCCCCAATTGTCATGGTACACAAATTGCTCCCCCTAGGACAAAAGCAGAGGGGAAAATATCATTGTGAGTTTTTCCCTTATGACCTGTAGTTCTCCATGAGACAGATGTGGAGTCCTAAGTGATATCTAGAGGCATTCTCCACTCATCAGGGCTTGCTGAAGACGCCTTGCTTGTAGACAGAGCCCTACCCACCCTATGACCTTATTCCATAAGCTTGCCACTCCTTGTAGTCCTGAGCCAGTGATGGATGATTTATGCGCATGGGCCACGGATCACACTGGAAGAGCATCTGCTTTGTATGCAGAAGGTCCCCAGCATCTCCTGCTAAGGTAGTTGGAGATGCAAGAACTCTGCATGAAACTCTGCAGAGCCACAGTGAGAACAGTCAATACTGACCTTGATAGACTAATGGTATCAAACCGTGTAAGGCAGTTTTGTATATGTTCGTGTGTTGTTAACACTGAACTACCTGCACATAGTTCTTTTCAGGCTTGATCGTAAGAGCAGCCTTGCTACACCAGAAAAATGGTCTTGTTTTGAAACTGCTCATCCTGAATTAAACAGCAAATGTTTCAAACACATGGAGCATGGGGGAATGCATGCTACCAGGCCTCCTGGAAACTTGCTAATGTAGTTCGCAAATACTTTGTTCATTTAATGTAAAGAAAATGTGCTCTTTTTTTGGCACTGAGAGTCTGTAGTTCCGCATTGAAGAGTATGTAGTTTTTGCCAGCCCAAGAGATTTATTTATCAAGACTGTAAAGCACATGGGATATTAAACTGATTTTAAGTCTAAGTTAATAAAGGAAGGAGATACCTTTGTTGTATCACTTGGCTTCTCTCCTTCCTGGGAGGACCTGTCTTGAAAGAAAAATGGCTGCACTTTGGGGCGTTTTCTCTCTGCAACATACAGGATCCGTGTTTCTGAGCTGGACCAGGCCAAACACCCAAACTGCCCTGATGGCAGAAGATGAGAAATTCAGTAAGGAGTGCCTCAAGCGAAAGCAGAATGCAAGTAAGGCACAGGAGGAGGACACTGTGCTGAGGTTCTGGCTGACTGATGTCTCCTCCTACAACTATGGGGGGAATTAACATTTCTGAATATTCAGGGGAGCTGAATGTCTAGTAACCAAACAAGCCAAGCAGGTGTCTGTGAGCTATTGGGAGAGGGGGGAACGGGTTATTTAAGATGTGTGACCATAATACAAACATTGCTTCAAGATAGCAGCTCAAATGAGACAGCAGCAGCTGCTACTATGAAATGATGGTGGCAGTTTTCTAACAAGGTCCTAATATGCTGTTAGTGAAGGCAGAGCAGCCACAAGTCACTAATTACTGTGCGATTATTAGCCTGAGATAATCCTGTTGTGCTTGTGGGGTTACAAGGATTCATTTTGCCGCAAAACAAGTTCCCTTTTGGTGCGGCGGCTTCACACTTGTAATGCTGCATGGAGCAAAGGGGCTGCTGTCTCAAAGCCAGCATGGTCAAAAAGCCAGGGAGGGAAATCTCCAATAATATTATTCATGTTTTGGTCTTAAATTTGTGATCCTTTGCTTGCCAATGTTCTTCTCCAGAATCTGTTTTTACAGCCAGAAATCTGTGCAGTAGGGACAGCAAACACTTTTATTTAAAGCAAGATAATTTCCTGTAATTAGCACTCTTCCATGTGCAGCAAATCATATTCTGGAGCAGTGTTCCCTCTAAGCTGAGTTAGTGTGAGCTAGCTCACAGTTTTTTAGCCTCCGGCTCACACATTTCTGTCTTAGCTCAGGAAGGAGGGCTTCAGAGCAAAGTAATTTATGTAGTAGCCAAATTGCTCGCTCACAACTTTAATGCCAGCAGTTCACAAAGTAGAATTCTTGCTCACAAGACTCCACAGCTTAGAGGGAACACTGTTCTGGAGTGCCATATATTATTCTAGAGCAGAACCTGGTTTGGATGAGATGATATGAAGGTGATCTGCTACCCTACACATGGAGGGGAACAGCAGCATGCTTTCCAAACACCCAAAAGGGATCTAAAATTGAAATTGGGTGTACTCGTAGAACAGGTTACATGGTCAATTCCTGGATGTTTCCAAGCAATGAGCTCCATGTTCATGCCACAACCGAGAAGGCCCCTTTCCAGTATGTCACCCGTCTAGCCTCAGATGGCAGAGGCACCTAAAGCAAGGGCCTCTGGAGACGAGCAGAGTGGTCCGGTAGGTTCCCATAGGTTCACCTATATGAAGGTGACCAGGGACTCAAATAAAGCTCAGAGAATGTTTGCTGGATGTGAACTCCTTAGTCAGCGATCTTGCTGTCTCCAACTTGGGTATCATAAGGTTTCTGGATCTCTGTCGCTCTGGTTTTCATTTACTTTATTTTATAGTATTTATAGTCCACTTTTCTTAAGTTCACTCAAGGTGGATCATTAGCCTGTTGGGCTGGACGCAGCCCCACACTTCTGGCCATGCTCAGTCAACCATCTAAAGAAAGCAACACGGACAACTGGTCTTATTTTACAGACTTACAATCTACTCACTATGAGGAGCTAACAATGCAAGCCTAGGATTCATCAGACTGCTTTCGACTGGTTCTGCTTCCTCCGAAAAGGGAAGGTCCAAAGAGGGGATGGATGGTCAGCTGCTCCTTCACTCCTCCCCCTAATGACTCCAAGAGGTCCATTCTGACTCCCTGCTGTTCTATATGTATGTGGTACCATTATATAGTAAAGGTAAAGGTTCCCTTGCTCATCTCTGTTTCAAAGCCGAAGAGCCAGTGCTGTCTGAAGACGTTTCCGTGGTCTTGTGGCCGGCATGACTAAACACCAAGGCACACGGGACGCTGTTACCTTCCCACTGAAGTGGTACCTATTTATCTACTTGCAATTTCTTGCTTTCGAACTGCTAGGTTGGCAGGAGCCGGAACTATAGACGGGCACTCACTCCGTCATGTGGCACACTCGGGTCTCGAACTGCTGAACTACTGACCTTCCACAGCCTGCAGTTCAGCGTCTTAACCACTTGAGCCACCGCAGCTCCATTATATAGGATTGTATAAAAGAACAGCATCCGATACCTCAAGCATCCTGAATGACACACAGCTGTGGCTGGTTTTATATTCCCTGCGTCCCTGAGAGTTTCACTGGAATGGTACGTAGATGTGCTAACTGAGACTAAATCCAGATGCTGAAGTGATAGTAATAAACAGAGCCCTCTATCCTAAGGGTATGCCACCCATCAAAAAGCCTTGGGGTGCTTTTGCATGCTCACTTCACAGCAAGAGCTAGGAGAGCCTTTCACAAATTCCTCCTGATGTAGTCTGAAGAAACAAGGTGAAGGCACGCACATAACATTGGATATCTCTCTGCTGGCAGTGGGGCAGGATGTGAATGGGAAGGAGGAGCATAAGCAAGCTCTGCGGCAGCAGGGTGCAGATATCGGCACCAGAAGGAGAGGATCGTTACTCTGCACACACAGAGAAGCATACAGCCAAACCAACTGCTGCTTACCATCTGTGTAAACACTGCCATGTTTGTCCAGCTCTGTAAGGTTGACACTTTTCACCCTCCCACTGCTGCTCCAAACCTGCTGGGACACAGAAATCAGCACAAGACAATGCCTACCACAACATTCCCAGGCTTGGTAATCAACCTCTTATATCTCAAGGTCTAGATCTATATGCCCCCCCCCCCATTGCCCTATTGGCAGGACCAATAAGAGAAAGTTGCGACTCCTCAAGGAAAGAAAGTGTCGGCAACACCAGGAGAGGAAGGCTATTGTTGATAACCAATAAAGAGTTAATCCTTAAAGAGATATAGTTACTGAATCTCCTTAGGTGGCCAATGGCAGTCCATACACATGTATGAACCACAGACTGGCTACACAATAGCAGTTCTGTAGATGGAATTTCTTCCTGTGGAGCATGACTTTCTCATTTCTCACTGCAGTAGGTGGGGGAGGCCAAAAAAACCCCATACAGGAATGCTAAACTGGATCAAAGACATGATTCGTCCATGCCCCAGAAGTATAACTGACCTCCCAAGGCTCTCGGTCCTCCTGACTACCACACAAACTTGTATATACCAAGCAGAGACAGTATTACTGCACACAAGCCATTTCAGTGTAGAGTCTGCAGCTCCATCCCACCTTTGTAACGATTGCAGACTACTGCCTAGGCAGTGTGCGGGACAGCAAAGTCTAATTATTTTACCTCCAGCACCTCCTGTTTCTGCCCCCTTTCCAAGTGATGGGTGAGAACAGCTTTGTGCCTTCCAGTAGGAGATACCTGGACCAGCAGTCTGTGGCACAAGAGAGAGGAGCGTTTAACACGAGCAGCCAACTCTAAGGAAAAACAGAGGAGGAAACCCCTTTCTTTGCCATCTACTTTGGGCTAAAACCAGTGTGGGCTTATGACTCCCCCCAACACATTACCCTTTCAGCTGAAGGATTTCAGGTTGCACGGCCACGAAAGGCCTATGTCTGTCAACATGGAGCACAGGTGCAAGTAGCAATTAACAGTAATTATCCCAGCATGTAACAGTTTACCATGTCCAACCTCAAGCACCCCTAAGTCTGCCCATCCTCACTCTTAGCTCTAATCTTTAGGGAAAAGTGATCACTCTTACTACAATTTCTAGTTTACATTGTAGCCATTTAGGTCCATTCCAAGCCTGGCCTGAACTTCTTACACAATGACAAAAGTATGGGATTTGTGTTGGGGCAACTGGATATTCTACATACTGGTCTCGAATTGCAGCTGGCATGCTAACAGGGGTAACTGAGACAACCGCTCTGCCATCGTGGTGCAGGACATGTTGGTGGCTGAAACGCAACTGCCGACAGCTCCCCAAATCAGGTTGGCACCACTCTGCAGGAGAGGAGGAAGATGGAATGAGAGAGCTGATGCTGGCTAGGTTTCAAGAGCCCAGGAATACAAAGCCGCTGCCGCCCAGTGTGAAATGCCACTCTCCCTGGGATTGACTGATCAATCAATGCCATGGAGAGGAAATATCAGGGACACACCAAGGCCAGGGTGAAACCGGGGCAGCCAATAAAACACAGAAAGGCCAGGTGTGCTCCAAGATTCCAAAGACTACGAGGAAAATTTAGAAACAGAGTTTCATTCTAAAGCTATCAGGAGAAAGAATGCTTGATCTGGAAAGAAAGGAATCACTTTGCAGACTAAGACCATTTCCACAAGGGTTCAATGCTATTGGGAAGTGCTTTTTTTCTGGTTTACCACGGCACTGTGTCGCATTCATGTACTTTCCAGATTTTTGTTTTTGGCTTTTCTCCAATCTTTGTCAGATCTGTCTTGCTGTGAAATTTTGTGAAAGATTGCTGCAAAGCCTGGATGGCTGCTGTATGGGTAGAAAACTTTGGATTTTCACATCCCAGTCACAGCAGCCACCATTGCCCCTGCTCCACTGATGCACACCACTTTATTTAAATGCACAATTTAATACCACTGCAATGATACAGCCCTGACCTGGATAGCCCAAGCTAGCCTGATCTCATTAGACCTCGGAAGCTAGGCAGGAGAGAGCAACTCTTGCCTTCAAAACCCTTTGGAGTCAACTTAAGTCAGCTGTGACTGGACCACCAAATAAATAATCCTCTGAACTCACAGCTTTCGGGGTTTTTTTTAATGAAATGCAGAGATATGCTTTTCTCCGTTCATCTCCACAACTTAAGAGAGGCTGGAAAGTTACTTTTAAAAAAATGAAAACCAGAATTCAGAGAACCTGATATTCACTTGCCGATTTAAAAAAAATGGTAGTGGTGGAGATGGCTGCTGCCGGGGGATTGGGGCAGGGAAAATGCAGGGAAATCTGCAACATGGAAGTCCTGTTGCTACTGCATTGTATTGGCAACTGAATCATCTACAAGCAAACCACATAAATGTATCTCTGCATGAACAACACAGAAGTATTAGTGTTACTTACATGAAAGATACTAGCTAATTGTGTTAAAATTACATACACATTATACATTAAATGATAATTAATCAGAATTAGGGGAAAAAACTGAAACAGCAAGTGGTATGAATAAGGAGTGACTGCAAATGGGTAGCCATATTAATCTTTCAGATACTACCAGAAATCTGTTTTATTTTGGTACAACAAACTAACATTTATTTCAGTATGAGCTTTTGTGAGTCACAGCTCACTTCTTCATATGTGTGAAGAGCAGAGAGGTTTGGTGCAAAATCCATCACAAACCTTTCAAGTGTAAATTCTCCCTATATAGAGAAAAGGGAGTAGTTGAGGTAGAAAGGTTAGGTGTGAATTCTATTATAAAACAACAGAATTAGCAGTTACACATAATGGATGAGAAGTCACTATACCCAGAAAAACAGTAGGGAAATATTTTACTTTGGTTGGACATATTTTTCCAACCTGAAAGTTACTGTTCTAAAAAAAAAAAGACATCTTTAAAGAGAATATATAATATGAAAGTGAATTAGATTTCTTTGCTCACTACCTAAAAGTTCTACAGGACACACTTCTTAGGAATTTTAATTGCTGTTCTTCATGTGTTTTATCAGATTAGAACCTGGTACTAATCAGTTAATTTTCACTTAAACTTTAAACTACTTCCTCCTGAGTAGCTGTTATTTATCCTGCTTCATCATTTTGCTTGTCTGTTCAAACTTCTGACCTCTCTCGTTATGCATTGTGGATAACTGCCAATTCTGTTGAAAATGTTAATGAATAAGGAGAGCCAGATTCCAGGTCAGAAGCACCTTAGAGACCAAAATGTTTTTCAGGATAGAAGCTTTTGAGAGCCAAAACTCCCTTCATCAGAGAAATTAGACTAAGATTCTTGGCCAGTGTACAGACTGATTCCAACTATGTTTACGCAAAGCGCCTATTGATTCCAATAAGACAACAACCAGTAAGCAAGTTTAGGATTATAGCCTCAAGCAAAGACCCAAGAGGTTTGGCTTTGCACTGACATTGACAACATCAGGACAGAGGAGCAAAGGGGCAAATGTAGTACAGGTGGGAGGATAAGGTGATGGATTTAAGGTAGAGAAAGCCAGAAGGATTCAAGGACCAGTCCCATTGTTCCAAAGAGACAAAATACAAACATATCTGAAGTACTCTGACTTTGGCTGCAAGAAAGCGATCAGAACTCCATGGAAAGTGGGAAGAGTAAATGAAGAATAAGAAAAGCAAAAATACCAAAGCAGCAAAAAGGGAAACTAGAACAGTTCAACGATGAAGGGTCAGACAACCTGCACAATTCAGGCACAAAGCCCACACTGCAAGAGTACATAAAAGGGACACTGCTCCCTCCTGGTACTCCTCGGTCCTTTCTTGCAGGTTACATTGTTTACTTTTCAGTTCTTTTTGCCATAGGGCCAGTTTCGGGGGGGGGGTGCAATGTTCAATATTTATTTATATTTAAATTTATATTCCAGAGAGTTTCTTCATAATGGAAATATAAGATCCTATATTATCATTGAAATATACATGTGTGAATTTTTGCAAGACTGGCCAAATTCTGTCCCTTTCTCATAGTCATATGAATGCAGGCCGATTAAAAGGCCTGCATTCTACTCTAAAGCCTTTTGAGTTCCTCCTAATTGCCCAACCCAGTAAACCACTCATTTAAATTGCTAAAGACACACAGCCCTGACTGGCATGGAACAATTGGGAGGACTGATAGGAGACCAGTGCAGATAAATTATTTAAAAGTTTATGGATTGAGGTCTAAAGTCCAACCACTGAGAGGTCCAGACAGGAGTATTTGCCTATAAGTATTAACTTTTTAAAAGGTAACTAATTGGCTTGCTAGCTTATTTTAACTTATTTGAAAAATAAGAGGCACACAGAAGCCTATTATCACCTTCAATCTAAAAAATCGGCGCCCTCTACTTTCTCAGAACTTTATCCCTTGAGCTACTGTAGCGGCTCCTATCATCTGCTCAATTCAGCTACCAAAGTGGGGCCTCATGTATCATTAAGATAAATGGCACACGCCTGTTGTGCAGCTAGATTGCGAAGGAACATTACATTTATTATTCGAGCGACCAGCAGTCTATTCCCCCCCGGGTGGCCTTGAGTCATCTGGCCTGTCGGCCCATTTGCAAAAGGTTTCCAATGCCTCCCCTTCTCCAAAGAGCTCCGGGGGGGGGGGGGGAGGCCAGGCTTTCAGAACGCACGACAGGGAGGGAAAGCGACCCCATTAGCTCAAGGCGACCCTAACATGTTACTCTAAAGGATTCCCCCACCGCGGGGGAGCAGCAAAGATCAGTCGGAGCAACCGGCTCACCCGTGTAGAGGGGGAGGCACCTGGTGCCGCCGCAACCAACAAATCCGACTCCTACCCGGGCGTAAGTTACCGAGGGGAATTCGCTCAGCTCCTGATACACAGCGCCGATAGGGCCCGAGCCCCCGGGCACCTGGAAGAGAGAGGAGCCGTGTTGTCGTCTCATGGCCCTGTGACAGCGGTGACCGATTGTCCTGGCGGCCGCGGGGGTCACTCACAACAGCCCCCCACCCCTCTCCTGGCCCCCCCAACCCCCGCAACCCTTCCTGCTTCTCCCCCAGCACTCCCCGCAGTGCCCCCACCGCCTCTCTTGCACGGTCCAGCCTGCAAGCCATGAGGCCTTTTCCCTAGAGAGAGTGTCCGAAGCAGTTGGGGGGGGGGGAATAGCCCTCAAAGCTCCCAAGGAGGCCGGAGCGGCTCCGTCTCCGGAAGGGCGTCGGCCAGCACTGCGACGAAAATAGCTGAGAGCTGGACGGAAAAGGCCAGGGAGACGGAGCTAATCCAGGACGCCGGGCCCTGCCTTCGACTTCGCTGCTTCCAGTGTCCCTGGAGGAGCGGCTCCTCTCGACCAGGCACGCCTGGCTGAGAGGAAGGAGGAAGGCTGCCTCTCCTATTTCAAACGCCCCAGTTAATTTGCTAGCACCAAGCATCCTTTAGGCGTTTTGCTCGAGTTCAGCCGTACAGCCCACTCAATCGGGCTATTCAGCTAACAACACAAACTGCCAGTACCTGAGGGGAGGAGGACGCCGGTTGAACTCTATAAGCCCTTAAGGACTGCTACTAAAAAACGAAAGGCCTGGGAGCTTCGCTTTCTGGTCTACTTAGAAATACCATGTAAACGAATGAAAATCAAGCCTACTCCTAATTTAGAGTTGCCAGGTCTGGGTTGGAAAATACCTGGAGACTTTGGGGGTGGAGCCAGGAGAGGGTGGGGTTTGGGGAGGGGAGTGGCCTCTGCATGGTACAATGCCATAGAGTCTACCCTTCAAAGCACCCATGTGCTCCAGGGGAGCTGATCTCTGTCAGCGGGAGATGCTCAGGCCCCACCTGGGGGCTGGCAACCCTATCCTAACTGCACAACCCCAACCTGTGTTGCTTAGCTGCACACTGAAGAAAATTTGTGTTTTTGTTGGAATATATGCAAGTGTCCCCACTTGTGTAGCGAAAGAGTTAATCTGTTTGTGTTTACAGATATGTGCTAAATGCCCATAGACCAATACAATAATAAAAAAGACTAGCTTAAAGCCATAATATCATTTAGTGTCAGGTAATATAAAGAACTACCACTTATTCCGTCACAGAAAAAATACAAAGGCCAATAACATTTCACATAGCGGTCTGCTCCAGACTCTCAAAGTCTATATCCCTCTAAAGGCAGTCTGCTCCAAATTCAATCAATCAACACTTATTCCGGATATTAAGTGTTTCAGACCTCTGGTCTTTCCTCAGGAACAAATCCTATATATCAGCAGTTCGAGACCCGAGTGTGCCACATGACGGAGTGAGCTCCTGTCTCTAGTTCCAGCTCCTGCCAACCTAGCAGTTCAAAAGCAAGAAATTGCAAGTAGATAAATAGGTACCACTTCAGTGGGAAGGTAACAGCGTTCCGTGCACCTTGGTGTTTAGTTGGCCACACGACCACGGAAATGTCTTCAGACAGCGCTGGCTCTTCGGCTTTGAAATGGAGATGAGCACCGCAACCCTAGAGTCGGATTTGACTGGCTTTCGAGCACGGGAACCTTTACCTTTACTTTTACTAATATAAAGAACCACCACTTATTCGTTCACAGAAAAAAATACAAAGGCCAATAACATTTCACATAGCAGTCTGCTCCAGACTCTCAAAGTCTATATCCCTCTAACAGTCTTGTAGTTTCAAAAGCAGTCTGCTCCAAATTCAAACACTTATTCCAGATATTAAGTGTTTCAGACCTCTGGTCTTTCCTCAGGAACAAATCCTATATAGGAATCTTACATTCAATGTAACTTTCAAGTTGACACTTTCATTAATTTACTTTTCTGTTAATCTACTCGGGCAAGGTCTCCTCACTTATTTCAAAACATGCTAGTGCTGCTGCCAAAGTTAAATGGACCCAAAGGGTCCATAACTGGTTATATATTTTACAACATGCCATCTTAACTACTTAAGGACGATCACCAGCACTAGCACTTTGATTATTGGATTGTTTTAAATGTTGGAATGTTTTAATCTTTTGTATATGGTTTTACGGTACTGGGTACCGATCAATGTAAGCCGCCCCGAGCCTGCTCGCGGGGAGAGCGGGGTGCTAATTAATTAATTAATTAATTAATTAACAAGGCACAATTACGCACCTTCCCCCTCCATATGAAGCAAAGCATGCCCATTTTGTCACACGTTTCTTCCCAGCCCAGCAAGGTCAGTTGGATCCAGGAAGACAAGCTGTGTAAGGATGTGGCAGCTCCGAAGGGAGCAGAGAGGCTGTGAGTCTTCCTGATTCTTACTGCACTTCAGTACAGCCTCTGGAGGAGCTAAGGACAGCCACAGTACTCAAAAAACAGTGCAGCATAGGCGGTAGACTGGACCTGAAGGTTATATTCTTGTTTAGTTAACTGCCCTTGAATACATTACACTGTCTGAAATTTAACTCACCGTGTACACCTTACTCAGCTTAGAGGAAACACTGGAATTATATGAATGTACTTCCCATTCTCAAGGAATTTCAGGGGTTGCAACAGCATTTCTGGCAGCTTTCTATGACATGCCCAAATCACTGGAAATATAAGGGGAGGAAGATTCACAGCAGTAGAAACACAACCTTTTAACAAGGGCACCGCTTTTCTAATTCTAAACAAGTGTTATTTATTTGTTAAATATGACTAGATAGGTTTGGGAATATTTCAATAACTTTACTTGTAAGCTAGGCATGAAGCATTAGATGTTGTCTGAATAGTGTGGGACCAACTTCCTAGTAAATATCCATAGGATGGTCTGGAAGTCATCTTACAAATATGACAGTTTTTCTACTTAGTTCAACAACCCCCTCCCTCAGCAATAGAGTATAACTGGGTTCGCTTTGGTACTGCCCCCATTGCCTCTAACAGACCCCTTCTATTTGGCCTCTCTCCTTTGGCTCTAGGTTTTCTTCTTCAGCCACTCCCTTTTCCGTTTCAATTTGCTTGCTCTGGTAAAGAGATCATACAAAATCTTGCCTTCTTAGCTATTTGTGTTACTTTGTATAAGACTAGAAAGAAGAAAACATGCCTTCCATTATTTTATTGGAACACTATTCAATAAAATTTCCCCCCCCCCGAAATGACCTCTGGAACCTTGTATGTATAATGGAGAGGGGACAATTATCATTAAAAAAAAAGGAATTGTGGAATAACCAATCCCATAGGCTTTGGCTGGGAACACAGAACTTGGTCAATTAGCCTACAGGAATCTAGTACAGTGGACCATCATTCTATACATGCATTTCTCTTACGCCCAGCCAGCTTCTTATGATCTTTTCCTTACAGTAACTTTTACTCAGTCACACGGTCACAGTGTATTCAGTAGGACTGGCTTCCAGGTAGGGATTGCAGCTTTAGAGACAGTTTGACAACCTATTAAGGAATGTCCAGGCATGTGAGCTTTTCCTCGTTAACAAGCTGACAGGTTACTTCTAAAGCTACTGACATTTACAGGGGAATATGAACGGGCTCTGCCTGCAGCAGGCTAATTTAAAAACTAGAAGGCAACAGCTCTCAATAATCCATTGAATTTCTTCCTGTCCGGGAAGATACTTAAACCAAAAAAGTATTTGCATGGGCTAACGTCCCCTTTAGTCCTCACAACTACCTTGGGATTCAGGTTAACAGGGGTCGTTTCGTAGAAAAAGAGCTAGGGGAACTCATTAGCATAACTCATTAGCATATGCCACACCCCCTGACATCATTGGAAGTGTGTCATAAGGCCACACCCCCTGACATTACCGGAAGTGTGTCATAAGGCCACACACCCCACCCCCAACAGGCCCGGCTGCCGGTGGTGGCCTTGCAGCTCCACTGCCGAGCCCCATGAGGTGGACCTGCAAGGCCGGCAGGAGTGCAAGGAAGCCCCGTGAAGGCCCTCCCTAGCCCCAGGCAGGCAGGGGTGGGGAGAGGCAGGGAGGAAGCAACTTACCCTCCGTCTTCTCCTGCCTCTTCCTGGCTGAATGAGGGCCGGAAGCGGGGCGGCCGGAAGCGAGGGGCGGGGCTTTGTCATGTGCCCCGCCCCCCGTACCTCACCCGGGGGACTGCGATCCCCCGCGATCCCCCCCGAAATGACCTCTGCAGGTTAAGCTGGAAGAGAAAAACTTGCTGAAAGTCAACAAGTAACCTTCACAACAGAGCAGATATTTGAACCCAGGTCTCTGGTTGTTGTTTGATGCCCTAATCACTACAACACACTGCCTTCACTAATGACTCAGTTTGGGAAGCTGGGGAATTATATGGTCAGCATCAGTGACGGTAGAGACCAGTCATAAATCAATGCTCCCTCTAAGCTGTAGAGTCTTGTGAGCAAAAATTCTACTTTGTGAGCTACTGGCATTAAAGTTGTGAGTGAGTTATTTGGCTACCGCATAAATTAGTTTGCTCTAGAGCCATCCTTCCTGAGCTAGGACAAAAATGTGTGAGCTGGAGGCTAAAAAACTGTGAGCTAGCTCACACTAACTCAGCTTAGAGGGAACACTGGAATTATATGAATGTACTTCCCATTCTCAAGGAATTTCAGGGGTTGCTACAGCATTTCTCGCAGCTTTCTATGACATGCCCAAATCACTGGAAATATAAGAGGAGGAAGATTCACAGCAGTAGGAACACAACCTTTTACCAAGGGCACCACTTTTCTCATTCTAAACAAGTGTTATTTGTTAAATATGACTAGATAAGTTTGGGAATATTTCAACAACTTTACTTGTAAGCTAGGCATGAAGCATTAGATGTTGTCTGAATAGTGTGGGACCGACTTCCTAGTAAATATCCATAGGATGGTCTGGAAGTCATCTTACAGAGAATATGACAGTTTTTCTACTTAGTTCAACAACCCCCTCCCTCAGCAATAGACTATAACTGGGTTTGCTTTGGTACTGCCCCCATTGCTTCTAACAGACCCCTCCTATTTGGCCTCTCTCCTTTGGCTCTAGCTTTTCTTCTTCAGCCACTCCCTTTTCCGTTTCAATTTGCTTGCTCTGGTAAGGAGATCATACAAAATCTTGCCTTCTTAGTTATTTGTGTTACTTTGTAGAGAGAAGAAAACATGCCTTCCATGATTTTATTGGAACACTATTCAATAAAATTGGGATCGCTTGTGCCAAAGCAATACAAACACTGTTCTA